ATTGGGGAAACGTCTATTGTTGGAGAAGAGTTAATGTTACCTCTTGGAAAAAGGAAGAGGGAGGCTTGTTCAGTCTTGGCTGAATAAGAATGATTAATGAGGAAGGCTTTGAGGTGGTGGGCCTCCTCTCCTCTCAATTTGAGATGTCTCTAAGGGCTACTGTTAAAATAAAATGAGGAGAAATATAATTATGTGCTGAGCTCCTCGGTCAGAAGCACAGATAGTCCTTGACTTACAACGTTCATTTAGTGACCCTTCAAAGTTACAATGGCACAAAAAAAATGACTCATGACCCCTTTTCACACTTTGCCCATTGCAGTAACCCCATGGTCACACAATCAAAATTCAGACACTTGACATATATTTATGGCAATTGCAGTATCCCACGGTCATGTGATTACCTTTTGAGACTTTCTGACAAGCAAAGTCAATGGGGAAGTCAGGTTCAAAGCAACCTCTTAAAGTAAAGGTTCCCTTGCACATATGTGCTCATTATTCACGACTCTAGGGGGCAGTGTTCACCTCCGTTTCAAAGCCGAAGAGCCAGTGCTGTCCAAAAACGTCTCCATGGTCATGTGGCCAGCATGACTAAATGCCAAAGCTGCATGGAACACTGTTACCTTCCCACCAAAGTGGTCCCTATTTTTCTACTTGCCTTTTTACATGCTTTTGAACAGCAGAAGCTGGGACAAATAATGGGAGCTCATTCAGTTACGCGGTGTTAGGGATTTGAACTTCCAAACTGCCAACCTTTCTTATTGACAAGCTCAGTCTTAGCCATGGAGCCACTACCCTAACTCTTATACAACCTCTTAAGTGTTACTAACTTAAGAACCTCAGTTATTCACTTAACAATTGTAGCAAGGAAGATAGTAAAATCGAGCAAAATTTACTTAACAAATGTTTTACTTAACATAAATTTTGGGCTCCATTGTGATTGTAAGTCGAGGACTCTTTGTATAAACCTAAATGCTATTGCTATATATAAAAAAAGGATTTTCTCTGAACCAGTTTCCGATGGCGATTCTGTTCATTTGTGTTCCCTTCTTTCCCTTCGCTGTCATCTTCCTTGATGTTTTATTTGAATCCTTAGCAGCATTTGTTCTCACAAACAAGTAAAAGTGCATGCCTCTTGATGGAGGTGTGGCTTGTAAGAAAAGGAGGTTTTTCTGACTTGGAAATCATGCTTGGAGAGCAGCTTTCCTTCTGAGCAGGGGTGTTTGTGTGTGTGTTTCCTGTCAGATGTCACTCCTGGAGATTGCACTTGTTGCTGAAGGGCAAAGAGAGAAACTGATGGGGATTAGCGTCTGTTTTCCCCATCTGCTTTCGCAAGCCAGAGGAAGAACTTGATTGATGTACAGGATGCACCTGCTTTCTGGGAGAAATTGAGGTCGGACAGCGAAATTTTTAGAATAGCCATAAAAATTTCTTTCATAAGGCTTTGCTCATTCTAAAGTTCAGAGCAGGGCCATTGTAAATATTACCTGCTTTTCTCTGCACCAGTATGAATTCCATTTTGTGTACATCTGGTGTGGTTATATCAAGATAAGCAAAGTCAATGGGGAAGCTAGATTCACTTAACAACCAGGTTACCAACATATCAATGGCAGTGATTCACTTAACTACTATGGCAAGAAAAATGGTAAAATGGGGCAAAACTCACTTAACAAATGTCTCACATAACATACATTTTGAGCTCCATTGTGGTTGTAAGTCAAGGAGTACCTGTACCAAGTTCTACCTGTACCAAGTTAATGTAGACAACTGTTTTATGGGACAATAAATTATCCTCTGTAGAGTTTACATGTATGTCAATATACTCAAAGTTTTGACCAGCTGCTAAAATCTCAGAATCTGGAAGGAATTGTGGGGGAAGTGATTCTAATAATTGGAAGAAAAAGCTTCTGTAATTACATTGCTGGTTGTTTTGTTCTTGCACTATTCCATGAATAAGTTGCTAAACTGTGTCCCAGGGTGCCAAGCCACAAATTACTTAATTTCTCCAGTTCAATTTCTCTGGATTCCGATGTGATTTGAATGATGGATGGATTGATTACAAACATCTATAGTTCTCCAGCTGATGGCGCAGGATGGTCCAGAAGTGGGATGTTCAATCCTTATTTGCCCAAGAGACTGAGTCATAATTGAAGCCACGCCTCCAGCTCCTTCCTGCTTGGGTCCAATTCTGACTCAGTCTTGCCCGTAAAGAGACATAATTTTGGTTTGCTCGTGAGTTGGGTATTTAGTTAAGCGTTTGTTTTACCTTTCTATTGGTGGTTTTTTGGTTTTCTCCTGGTTTGGGGCTGACTTGGCTCTTTGAGTCGTTCTGCCTTGTTTAGTTTGATACGTTAGATTTCTGTTGTTGGAGGCTCCCTGGGCATTGGGGGGAGCGCTGCTGGCTGCGCCAGTTATCGGACGCTTGTTGCGGTTTCCTGCCTGTTGCCATGTTGCTGGGCTGCTGCTGGACCAGTTGGGAGCTCCTGCAATTGCCTCCTGGTTATCAGAGGCAGGCTGTTTCGGCGGCGCTGCAAGGATGCTTCGGGAGAGTGTCGGCACCTCCTCATGGCAGCGGCTCTGTTCGGCAAAGCTATTAGTGCTGGCTTGCAGAGCGGCGTTTCTTCGGCTTTCCGGTGCTCACGGAGCCGTTTGTCTGCATTGCCAATTGTCCTGTGGAAAATGGCTGCTGGTGAGTACTACGGTCCCTGGGGGTGGCCATCTTGAAGTTTCCCAGGCAGTGGCCATATTGGTGAAGCCATGAGGCGGTGGCCGTTTTGGGGCACCTTGTTGCTGAGTCACGAGGCGGCAGCCAACTTGTTTGCACTTTCTGCCGACACGGAGCTCATTTTGGCTGCTAGCACCTGCAAGCACAGTCACAAGGTTGAGAGTGGCAGCGGGGCCTTATTCCTCCAAGCAGGTTTTGGGCCTTGAGTGTGCGGTCTGTGGGAGTGGGGGAGCAGCAATGGCTGATTCCCCTGGTGAAGGTACTTCTAAAGCTGCCTCTTCCTCTAACAAGAAAGGCTCCAGGAAGAGGAAGACTTCCTTGGCTGACCCTCCAGCCAGTTCTAAGCAGGTTGGCTCCACACATGGCAGCAAGGAGCATGGGGGGGGGGGGCAGAGAAGTCCAGGCAGGATGGTGGAGACAAGGCCTCTTTGTCCCTTCTGAGATCCCCTCCTGTGTTGGGGGCGGTGCAACTCTCCCTCTCTCCATCTCCACCTAGGCTCTCTGAGGGCTAGTTCCATTTCTCCTCTTTCGGAGGTGGATGAAGAGGATAGTGCTTTTCATTCTTTTGCATGCTTAGAACCTA